GAACAGAATATCATATTTATAGCCACTTCAGGAGCAAGACAATGTTTAGATGTTAATGACAGTATATTTTAAGGAAAATATCTCAAAACGTAAAAGGGAAAAATCTCCCAGCTCTTAATTCACATGTATTCATCTTATCAAGTTGAGTTATTTCTATTTAAACATTTTCTTATAATCATATTATAAGAGTTGATTTCTTATTTGCTTCTTTATATACATTATTAAGTATTTAGTCAAGTACCAAAGCTAATATGTTCTTTAGCTACCCATCAACTTCAATGGTAAATGGAACCTTTATTCTCCCTGCAAGCCAGACACTTTTGTATTTAGTCCTCCTATATTAATAAACATGTTACGAAGTTAGGAAAGATGTCACATCTTTTTAATACTCTGTGTTGTTATAAGGAGTTAGATATCAGAGCTTGCCTCCTGCAGCGACCTGTGCTTCTCCTTGAGCATTGAATTTATAAAAATGTCTATATATAAAAATGCTTGATTTGATATAGTATTCATTTCTTGAATACAAATCTGTCCTTTCATATAGTACAGATTTTGCAATGACAGCAAATAAAATTTCATGAAATCATCACCTCTCCATCCCAAAGGGGTTTATCACTGTATCAGACTAAGCTCCATATGAGTGATGACAGTATTCACCTGTTAGTGACTACAAATTCATCTTATTTCATCACTGCACATCACACTAAGGAATTTAACCCTTAGTCTAAAACTGTCTTGACTTATATGAATAAAAAACTTGTATAAACAATTTTCTCTCTCTTTTTTTTTAAGACATTTCCACATGGATATTAATGTGATTATCTTCAGTGTGCTGGCTAGGAAGGAAGCAAAAAGGCGCCATTCGGGGCATGCAATTCTGGCTTACGTGGAGATTGGAAGTTTTGGTGCCTAACTTGTATATGAATATCTTGCAATTCTCCTGAGAAATGAAAGTAGAGAAATGAAAACCTTGCACTTTAAACAAATTAGGTACTTTGAGCAATGGCAAGACAATGTGGCTGAACTTTGTGGATTTTTTTTCTTTTCTTTTCTATTTTAACACCAAGCCAATCTGACTGTGAATGCCATTTCCTGAGACCTCTAAGCCAGTCCCTTTAATATTCATCGTATATGTGAGTATGATAAAAAAGAATATTAATGGGAAAGTCAATAACTTCTCCTTACTTTCAATACAGAAAATATTTCAGTTATCAAGTCAAAAAAACTAAATATCTAAATGGAACTCTTTGTTCTTTACATCCATTTACATGAAATAAATTCCTCAATTTGACCACCATACAATTTTTTAAAAAATCTGAGAAGGTTTGCCACCTATAGACAGTTTGCTTATGGAAAGCCTTCAATTATATAATCTCAACTGAAATCATGAATCAGCTGTAACCATGACTTATACTGAATATTATTTCTACAAAATTTTATCACATTACCAAAGAACAGATATATCTAAATCTTAGCAAATGTATACATGTACATGTATCAATACATGTGATTAAAAACACATTTTCTCCACATTGAGTCTTGCTATTGCTTCATAATCAATATATTTAGACATGCATATATGACTAAATTCATGATGCAGTGTTAACCATTTCCATTTGTACAATTCTCAAGCTTTTTCACTCGTTGCCAAATGTTACTGTAAATGGGTAAAATACTGCAAAATACTGCATGAACATTCTTTCTGCTCTACAGTATCAAGCCTTATATCACTTCTGAAAGCAATGACAGATATAGTTTCTTTCAAGGTAAAAACTAGTGTCTTCCCTCACAAACAATTAATAACTACAATGCCTCTCTACATTACAATGCCAATCTAAAAGACTGAAATAAAGTTCATTTGCAAGGTACAATAGTCTTCCAAATCCTTCTCTGATCACATGACTTTGTGCTACGTAGAAAGAGTACACGATGCAGGGAGAGGACACAATATACAGTTGACAGTGCAATGAATGCTTAAAATGCAAAGTATAATCTTACCTTCCATCTCTTCTCAAGTATTAGATCCAAAAGAATATTTTCCTTTGTTCAGGTTATTACAAAACAACATAAAAATGTATACAATTAAGGGAAGAATTAGTAACACCTAAACCAGTGTTATCATGGGAGTCATCGTATGAGAGCACACAATCCTTTCAAAAGCATCCAGTGGAAAGACTATAGAAGTAGGTAATTTGTGTATTATTTATTGTCTAATTCCTGAAGATTCATAGTCTTAATTGCCCAGTTAGTCAATGCAATGATATAAGTAAAATTTGAAAATTTGCAAGGTACAATAGTCTTCCAAATCCTTCTCTGATCACATGACTTTGTGCTACGTAGAAAGAGTACACGATGCAGGGAGAGGACACAATATACAGTTGACAGTGCAATGAATGCTTAAAATGCAAGTATAATCTTACCTTCCACTCTCTTCTCAAGTATTAGATCCAAAAGAATATTTTCCTTTGTTCAGGTTATTACAAAACAACATAAAAATGTA